AATGGGTGGGGGGAAATAATTGAGAAATAGAAGAAGAGGAAGAGATTAGAAGCAAAGCTGGAGAACAAAGGAAGATCACACAAACTTTGGGGATATGAAGGAAAGAAAAATAAAAGCAGAATAGAACAATAACAAAAAACTAGAAACCATGTTCACACTCATAAAATGAAGAACAATCAAGAAAAAACAATACGGGCCGGGGATTTAGCTCAGTGGTTCTGGCGACTGCCTCGCAAGTGCAGGGACCTGAGTTCGATCCCTGGTACCAAAAAGAAAAAGAAAAGAACAATACAAAACAAAAACTAGAAAGAGAGGTGTGTGTGTGTTGGGGGTGGGGTGGGGAAAGAAGGAAATTAGAAAAAAAAATGTCTACTTCTAGTTATGTGTCTGCTGTCATTGGTAGGCAGAGTGGACAGCTCAGGGTAGTGGATCCCAACAAGCCTTTTGAGTTCCACTTAAGTGTAAGCTGATTTTTGGGTATGAGGCTGGATCTGGATTTGTTGAGCCTGCAAAGGTCCGTGTGTCTCTTGCTTGCTTGAATTTAGCTCCCTGATCTTTTGCTGTCTTGAACTTGGCAGCCTCACCAACAGTGGGAGCCACAAGCTGGAGCCACAGATTTTCTGAGTCCTGAGCTCATTTGACCCTTCTCCAAGATGGCTGTTGGCCAATCGCTTTTTCCTGGGGGAGTCTGAACCTGGGTTACTTAACAGTCACTGCAGGCCACTTTGTGCACTGTCCTGTTCCACTGGTGTGTTTCTCTGTTGAGGCCTCTGGGGTTGTCAGTAGTCACTGTGCATCTACAGATTCAAGCTTCCCCTCCCATGCATTGAGTTTGGGCTTGGGGAGAAAGTGCCACTTGCCCACCTCCTTTTTCCTTGATTTCTCTTTTCTTCCTGTGGGCTTCAATTCTCACTTCAGATCTTTCCTGGATCCCAGGGTTTCATGTTCCTCTTTCTTGTCTTCTTCATGTTGCTATATTCCAGTGTCTGGATACCAAATCTTGGGAGAGTGCTGCTCACTACTCTGCCATCTTCCCCAAAGTCTCCACCCTAATTTAGTAAGTTCTGATGTGTTTTCCATTTCCAGATTTCTGAAAGTGGATTTCATATGTTTTCACCACATATAATGGGGTAATGGATGTGTTATCTTGATTTAATTATTTCACATTGTATATATTTGTTAGAAAAGCATCATCTTGTACCCCATAGATACAACTACCGTTGGTTAATAATGAAAAATTAAATTCGAAATAAAAAGTTTTGTTTTACTGTTTACCTTGGGCTTGTCTGGTTGCTTACATCGGACCTAAGGTGCTGGTGCCATCTTAGCTGATAATGGTCCACTAATGCTACAGGTTTAGTAAATTTAAAGTTAAAAATTAATATTAAAAGGCACAGCTACACTTTGTATGTATATTGTGAAAATACTGTCTATTTTCTTCAGAAATGTTTTAATTGATACAAATATTTTAAACGTCTATATTTTTCTCGTTCTAAATGGATGCATGTCACATTCAGTGAAGTAATGTGAAAAAAAAGTTTTTCTAGTTGGGAAGGATGGTTCTGTTTTTACCATACTAAGTTTCCATGCTTGTGTAGCGGAGCTGGAGAAGCCTTTGTGTATCAGATGTACAGTGCTGTAAAGGGGTTGGGAGAGTAGACTTGAGATTGGAATCTAAGTAAAAATGGTAATTGAAGCTGAACATTAGATGAGGTCATATATTTGATAAGGAATAAAGAGTTGTAAATGGAAATTCAATGAAATACTATGTCATTTGCTGGTAACTAGTGCCTGACATTTCAGAGTGGTAAAAAAGAAAACAGATCTTTGGGTTGAATCAGGAAGTAGTCATTTGAGATTTGAGGCTGCAATGATTGGGTAGAGTACAGCAGTGTAAAGTTGTACTGGAGAAGCATTAAAATGAGTTGGTAAGGAAGTGGAACACTAGTTTAAAACGTTGTAAAGCTTCTGGAAGTTGGAAGACAGGAAATTTTAGGGTTAAGTGATGGTTTTTCCCATTACAAACATTGCATTTGGGCATACCATTTATAAAGGGGAGGTTCAATATAATTAAATACAAAAATGGAGAAAGCGATAATAAAATGTGATATTTTAGAAAGGTAAAATTAATGTTGAATGCAAAAACCCTGAAATTCAAGAAAGCTGAATACAAGTGTTATTATGTCTTCGGAATGGTTAAAATTCTTTGACAGATTAGCCATAGGATTAAAAAAATTATGCCACTATTTTTGAGTCCTTAATGTAGGTATAGAGTCAGAGTTTTAGGGATACATAGAAATGGAGTTATAAGGCCAGGCATGGTAGTGCATTCCTGTAATTCCAGTACTCAGGAGGCTGAGGCAGGAGGATTGCCATGAGTTTTATCACAGAGCTCCATGTAGGAATGTGATGCTTATATTGCTAGTTACACAGTAACTGCTCAGGAGATAGGGATATGAACTTATTTATTGAGAGTATTGTTCTAAATTATAACTTAAAAATACACGTATTACAGAAAAGAGAAAGTTAATAAATACTTACTGGAAAATTTTTGAAAAATACCTGATCAAATTGACTCCTTAAACTATAGGCAGCTTTATACTCCTCATGAATCTTGAATATTGAACCCATAGAAGAACTCTGTGGTAAAAATTAATATTATATATTTATTGTGCATTGTCTGGCACTGTAAAATGGTTTACATGAATTAAAATTAAAACTGGATATGGTAGTGCATGTCTGTAATTCCAGAGCGAGGCTGAGGCAGAAGGATGACAAACTAAAGTTCAGCCTATGCAGTTTAGCAGCTTAGTGAGACCCTGTCTCAAAAAAAAAAAGCGGGGGAAGGCCGGACATGGTGGCGCATGCCTGTAATCCCAGCACTCGGGAGGCTGAGGCAGGAGGATTGCTCATAGTTCAAGACCAGCCTGGGCTACATAGTGAGTTCCAGGTCAGTCTCAACTACATAGTGAGACCCTGTCTCAAAAAAAAAAAGCGGGGGAAGGCCGGACATGGTGGCGCATGCCTGTAATCCCAGCACTCGGGAGGCTGAGGCAGGAGGATTGCTCATAGTTCAAGACCAGCCTGGGCTACATAGTGAGTTCCAGGTCAGTCTCAACTACATAGTGAGACCCTGTCTCAAAAAAAAGGGGGGGGGATAGGTATTTTCAAAGATGTACAATATTCATTTCAGGTACTTGGTTAGTAGAATATTTTTCTCATTTACGATGAGATGCATATTAATAGACAGTAGTCAAAGTTTAGAAATCACTATTAACAAAATGGTTCACATGTTTTTATGTAGACATCACCATAACTTTTATTTTTCTAAATAGTTTTTTAGGTATGGAGGTGGTACATAATGGCACTTGTGTGCTAGACTTAAGAATGAATGATATGTTGTTTGAGAATAGGGAAAGCTGTAGCAGTCTAGAGTAGGAGTATGAAGAACTACTTAAAACAAATGGCTGAGGATGGCTCAGTACTAGAGAGTGATCCAAGCATGCAAGAAACTCTGGGTTCAGCCCCTAGAATTGGGGTGTGAATGTGAGAGGGTTCATTGGAGATTTGTATCAAATATTTTTTCTAAATGTAGGGTTTAGGCCAGGCATGGTGGTATACTCCTAGAATCCCAGCCATTGGGTGGCTGAGGCAGGAGGATCACTAAAAGTCTGAGGCCAGCCTGAGCTATATATTGAGTTCAAGGCCAGCCTGAACTACACAGTGAGACTCTGTTTCACACAAACAAACAAACAAACATAAGTGTAGAGTTTAAATTCATATTTTATTGAATTTCTGAAACTGAACACCTAGCTAGTAACTATTAACATCTGTATGTAGCAGAAAATTAATCTTGTTTTCTCCCGGGGAAAACTTGTAGCATAGTGAAAATGGTTAGGTTCAGGTTAAGGATATTGTGGAAGGATCTTGTGCTTTGAGGTGAGAGAGATATGGATTTCTGCCATTTATTAAATTTGTAAATATTCAAATTACTATGGAAGCAGGCTCAGAGGAGCTACCCCCCAAAAATGGGGCTATAGGCCTCTGTATGTAAAGTGCCTAGTGCATCCTTATGAGGTATTTCTCAATAAATATTTAGTACTTTCTGTAGTACAAGTGAAATGCCTTCTGGAAAACTAAATATTTAAGCAGTTGATAAATACTTAAAGTAGTTAGATAGCTGAGTAAATTACTAAGGAAGGGGCTAATAGAAAAATAAGAAAAGGCCAAGTGTTCCTACTACTTAGGACAGTTTTATATGAAAAGCTTTTGTAGTAATTATTAGTCACCCTGGGCTTCAAGTTTTAATAAATTTCATATTACGTTCAACATGATATTAAAATGCTTTAATTTTGAAAGATTATAGAAAGACCTTATTTCCTGTTAGAAAGAAAGAAACCACAGTAGGGAGTAATCTGATTATCTTGAATCAAGGCTAATTCTACATGAGTTAGTAATTTAAATATGTTTCCTAGTTGAGTATAATATAAACACAGTTTATACTTTTAGGTGACAAGGCATAAGAAAGAAAAACTGTAGCATGTAATCAGGGAATGCCATTTTTAACTTTAAAAATTATAACAGCCATTCAAATGCAAAACTTTAATTATCTATGGTTCTGTTAACCCTTAATTGTCAGAAATTGCATTTTTTTCTTTAGGACAATTTTGTATTAAGCAGTACCTTTTTTGGGCATAAATTTGAAAGTCTTATTGCCGGGGAGTTAGCTCATTGCCTCCAAGCACAAAATCCTGAGTTCCATTCCCACTACTGGGAAAAAAAAAAGTCTTATTTAATACCTTAAGAAAATTCACAATCAAGACTGAAGTCTTTTCTATACTGCCATGTATTGCTAACTTCACATTTGAAGTTTATATTTTAAACTATGGTTAAAAAAATTTTATAGGAAAAATTTTGAAGTTATAAATTTTACATTTTTTGAGTTTAATTCTCTATAACTTTAGTATTTTTATTCTGATAAAAACACAGACTAAGTCCCCTTTTATATATTTTTAAAGAACTCATAATGAGCAAGTGTTTAATATCATAGGTAGGAATTCATATTATTAAAACTTGAATTTTTTTTCTTTCTCTGTATGACAATCTTTTAAGTGTGTTTCAGGACACTTGAAGTTAAACTATAAAGCTAGATGATGATTGACTAGAACATTAAAGATATCTTCAAGTAAACACATTGCCATTGTGCACTGAAGTTACTCTCTGAAGATAGAAAGGTTTGCTTGTTTGGCAAAGTCAATTATTAGGTTTTTATATACAAATGAGGTTCTACTTTTCTTCTAAACGTTCCTTTACTAATTTTTCCAAAGAGAAAAGATGCTCATCTGCATCTTCTGGGATGAGGCTTCTAATAGAATTTGCAAGTTCAAAAAGATATTCTGTATTTCTTCCACTTGGACCAGCTGCATTAAAAATTTGTTCAGCAATGTCTTCCAGAGGTGCGGGACCAAGATAATTAGGATTATCACATGTTCCAATATATAGCAACACACTGAATGGTTTTGTTGTGGGATCTTTTGGATAAAAAATGACTGTTGTGGTTCTGTAGCCTCCTTTCTCTCTGAAGTCAAGGGATGCTTTTACTTCTTCTTCTTTTCCTGCTGGGAGTTTATAAGCAACACCCCATACACATCCCTGAAAAATAAAAGTACATTTTTCGTATTTACAAGGATAATCGAAATAGTGAAGTTAGGTTATACTGGTCTAAGAAAATACCTTCCATAGTCTTAGAAGTCAATGCAGTTTTGCTTCACTTAAGATGCACTGAGGTACATACTAAACAATAAAGGAAATCATTTAAAATTTTTATTCTGAATAATATTTTGTTATAAATACAACATATTTATCTTTCAGAAAGTTTTTAAATTACTCAAGGGTGGTGGCACATGCCTATAATCCTAGCACTTGGAAGACTGAGGCAGGAGGATTGCAACTTCAAAGCCAGCCTGGGCTATGTGTCAAGATCTTGATTCAAAAAAAAAAAGCTAAACTAATGGGGCTGAAATGAAAAATACCCAGTTTTCATTTGGTCATTAAGAAATTGTATAGAAGCGAACAAAACTCCAAGAAATTCTAATGTCATTCGTTTTAACTGTTTGAGTAGGAATTATAGTAACCAATTTGAAGCTGTGAAAGCATTTAATCTATACCATCATTAATCTGTCATTGCTAGGTGCTTGATTTTTGTGTATCAAAGTCTTGTCCAAAGTTACATCTTGAATTTAATGTAAAAACATTTTATAAAAAATTCAAATCTGTACACTAATAAAATGGTTAAAAATATTTAAGAAACCAAGAGCCAGGCATGGTGGTGCACACCTGTAATTACAGGAGTCTGGGTGTCTGGGTCAGGAGGATCCCTAGTTTGAGCTCAGCCAGCACAACTCAGTGAGACCCTGTCTCAGAGTAAAAAGGGTTGGGGGTGTAACTCATTGTAAAGGCTCTGGTTTGAATCCCTAGTAGTGAACACATAGGGAAAAAAGAAACCTAGAACTGCCATATGTTTCCTGGTGCTTCTTGCCTGTTTAAAAAATACGAGTTCTAGATAGGCATGGTGGTGCATGTCTGTAATCCCAGCACTTGGGGGAGGCTGAGGCAGGAGGATCGCTCATAGTTCAATACCAGCCTGGGCTACATAGTGAGTTCCAGGTCAGTCTCAACTACATAGTGAGACCCTGTCTCAAACCATCCCCCAAATACAAGTTCTATAAATAAAATTAGGCAATATAGAAAGTGACAATTCCTGACTTCATTTTTATGCTGAGGATATTAGACTTCTGCAAATGTGAAGAGAGCTTTTGGGGTTCCATTTGATTCTTAGTGATAGCCTCGTTGTCTAGGGACTGTTTTCATTAATGTCAAAGGGGACCACAAAATTCTGTCAGCAAACTCATTTAAAAAAGTCCACAAGGGCCAGGGTTTTAGCTTAGTGGTTGCGGTACCTGCCTTGTAGGTGCAAGGACCCGAGTTTGATCCCCAGTACCAAAAAAAAAAAAAAAAAAAAAATCCACAAAAGCAAGAGAAATGTCATGTTTTTGTTTAAAAAAAAAAAAAAAAAAATCCACAAAAGCAAGAGTAATGTCATTTGTTGTTGTTACCTTGCATTTTTTATTTTAATTTTTCTCACTTGGCCATCCATAACAAGGGAGAAAAAAACCCGAAACAGAGAAGAGTTCTAGACTTGGTGTAGTTCAAATTGTCTGTGATGATTGTTAATAAAATTTCACTGATTATTAAAATGAAATATCTCAACATTTCATACTATTAAAGACTATATAAAAAGGAATAATTATACCATACCCCAGGATCTTCAACAAGAGTCACAACTCTTCCAGGCTGTTTAAAAAAAGACAAAAATATTTTTTCTGAAGTAAAGTTCATTAAGTGAGCATTATGACTTCTTGTTGGCATGGAATATTTTAAAGTTGCTCTAAGAGGCACTTTCAAAAAAATACTTATTTTTATGATAAAGTTTAAAATGAATTAAGAGAATTTACCTTACCCAAAGTACAATGTCCTTTCTAAAAAAGACTTCCATCATTTTCTATAAGTTGGGTATATTATGTTCTTTTAAAATAGATACATTATGACAACCCATTCGCGATCCCTGTTGTCTTTCAGGAGGTATTCTTTTTTGTTCTGTTTTTCTGGTACCAGGAATCGAACTCAGGACCTTGTGATTGCGAATCTCATGAGGTATTCTTATTTCCCATTCTTACTCCCCAATACATTTCCCTACTTTTAACCCCCGAAAAAAAAATAGATACATCAAAAAAAAAAAAAAAAAAAACTGCAGCGACTAAGGCTCAGGTAAAATAAAAGGCAAGTGGAAGCGTTAGTTATAAATAAAAGATCTAGTTTTCCTCTTGGGAAAAAAAGCATTCAGGGTATATTCCTGTATATAAGGAAGTGGTTTTCAAAGTTTGATCAAATTACTTGGAGGAGTTGATAAATACACACTGCTAGGCCATATCTCCCGAGTTTGATTATTTAGGTCTGGAGCCTGAGAATATGCATTGGTCACAATACCCAAGGTGATTCCTGTTACATTGTTTTGGAGTTCATATTCGAGAACCACTGTTCCAGAATAAACCAAGAGGTCTCAAGTGAGAGTGAAAGAGTAATTTATACTCCTGAGTTAAGTACTTTTTATATGGTTAGTATATAGCAATTGGTGCTTCAAGGTGAGCATCCCTTTTATATTTACAAATAAATCTGTATTGCCCTGACAGTTTAATATTGGAACTTGTTCTCTCATATAAGATAGTTACACTACCTGTATTATAAGACATTTTTCTTTTTCTGCTATTTTTTTTGTTGTTACTGGGGATCCAACTCAGGACTTACGCTGGTGTGGTGCCACTGAGCTAATTCCTGGCCTTCTGCTTTGGTTTTAACATAGGCAATTTCAACTAACTTGAGTCTGAAATAAGATTTTTATCAAGCCCAAATGAATTTTATTTGTTTTTCTGTTTCAAAAGCTGGAAAAAGAATCTTTGTTTATAAATTGAAAGCCTAAGACAAAAGCCAGAATTGGAACATTCCATAATTTTAAGACACAAAGGTGACTTAAACCAGTGATTATTAGTTTGTTTTATTAAATTACTACCTAGTATCAAAGGTTAACAGTAAGGATGTCAAGTTGCAAATCAGTTTTACCTACTTGTATGCTCAGTGTTTTCACAGTGAGCCTAACTCATTCAGATAATTTGTGTCATCTTTATTACTGTTCCCTTTTTATCTTCATTTGTATAGATAATCACAGTTCTTGATAGTTCTGCTTTTTGAAATCTGGTTCTTCTTTATTCTTTTTTTTAAGGTCAGTTTTTTTCTTTTTATTGAGTTTATTGGTACAATCTAGGTATACACCTCTTTATTCTTTACTAATCTCAATAGAGATTTCCTCTGCCTGCCTCAAATTTTTCCCTCCAGTTTGTTCTCTATTAGTGCCCAGAATGACTTCTCGACTGAAATTTTCAGGGTTGGGGTATTCTACAGGATAAAGTTAAAATTCATTAGCATAAGTTATGCTAAGGAATCCATTTCTATAAACCTAATTTCTTCTGAAGATGTACTGATTTATTAAATGACTCTTAGAAATATTCCTGTCTTTGAATACACTGCTGCCTAGTGTTGAATGCCCTTCCCTCTTTTATTTACCTTGCTTATCAACTGTCCACTTCCTCAGAATTTTGGCTCATTCCCGAGGCCAATTTAGCCATTCCTAAACTCTCACTGCTCCCTATATTCGTTTCTCTTCTAGTACTTACCAAGTAGTTTTGTTTACATAGTTGTCTCCTGTGTATGTAAGTGCTTAGTTGTAATTGTTGAAAGGAAGAAGAGGGACAAAAAGTCTTGGACTTGGGGGGTGGCAGGTGCAATAGAAGACAAGGAATATGTGGGGAATTATTTTAAGGAGAAAAAGTAAAATTTTATGTCTGCAAGCAGCTAATGGTTGCTACAGACAGACTAAATATACTTGGAAATATTTTCTAAAACTTCAACTCTTTGTCCTTAAAAATAGATGATATTGAGAAACAATATAAATTTGTAAATGCATTTAAATTTTTTTGTGGGAAGGGGCAGTGAAACTGAAGAGATCTTTCAGACTGAATGACATTACAGGAGTATGGAAAACAGGAATCATGGTGGGTGTTTCACTGGGTAGTTAGTAATGTTTCTGTTCACATTATCTCTTGTATGAAAATATTTCCATTTTTGAAGTAATATATTTAGTTTGTGCAAAAAATTTTTCATATTTAAATAAAATCCTTGATTTGGTGAGAAACTGCCAATTTTGTGATATATAAATGAGATGCTTAAAGCTATAAAGCAAGCATAATTTAATAAATCATCTAGGTTCAGTTTTTTTCCACAGATGTCCTCTCTTGCATTATGGAGAAACGAGTATAA